TGATGGAGCCAAGAGGAAAATGAATGAAGGATTAAATAGCTCAAAGAAAAACAACAGTCCACCAGCACATTAAGAGTCTTCAGTCAAAAAGACATGCCAAGTCAAAATAACCAGACAGCAGTTTTTCATTACCACATATTGGCAAAAAATTAAAACTTGACAGCACCCAGAATTGATGAGGATATGGGGAAATGGGCATTATCATACTATTACCACTGGTGGAGGCATAAATAAGTACAAAAGTTTTAGAAAGCACTGTGACACTAGTAAAATATTAATGTGCTATGTCAGAGGCTGCAGGAGTCTCACGAAATTCATACTCTTCCTTTCTCCAAGACCCAACAGCTAGTGTTTCCCAGCCATCGAAGCTCCAGCCAATGGCAGAACAGTGCAAGTGATGTAGCCCACACCTAGGCCCGGCTCATCAGTACTTCCCTCCTTGCTTATTTCCCCTCCTAGCTGGCTGGGAAGGAGACCATTTCAGAACAACCATGGAAGCCACAGGCTGAAAATGAGAGAGCTTCCAGGCTGAAAATGAGACAGCTTCCATCCATGCGAGTAAAAGCACTGGAGTAGTGAAGAATTACCCAACTGACGGATTTACCCACCCAGCACTCGTGAGCAAAAAATAAAAGTTATTTTCTTGGGCCATTTCTTGGGCATATTTGGTCTATCTATTACAGCAATTAGCCTACTCTCACTAAAATACTTACACGTACTTTAATTCAGGATTTCACTGCTAAGAATTCACCTGAAGTCAGAACATATATATTTGTACAAATCTAGTAAAAAGCACAATGTTCACCAGAATTAGGAGTGATCAAATAATTTATGGCACATTCACACAATAGATGGCTACACAGTGCTACAACGAGTGACATAAATCTGTAAGTACTCAAACAAAAAGGTCTCTAAACTCTATTGTTAAATGGGAGAAAGAATCAAGGCACAGAACAGGGTGATACATGTGCATACACGCATATGGGTATACACACTCTTTTTTTTCTAGAAGGATAGTTGTGATGGTTAATTTTATGTGACAATTCGACTGGGTTATGGGAGTCTCCTTAAACATTATTACCAGTGGTAATAGTATGATAATGCCCATTTCCCCATATCCTCATCAATTCTGGGTGCTGTCAAGTTTTAATTTTTTGCCAATATGTGGTAATGATGTCTCCAGATGTCTCCTTAAACATTATTTCTGGGTGTGTCTGTGAAGGCGTTTATGGACAAGATTATAAGCATTTGAACTAAAGAACTGAGTAAAGCAGGTGGCCCTCCCAGCATAGCTGGGCTTCATCCAACCCACTGAAGACCTGAATAGAACCAAAAGGTAGAAGGCGGCTGACATTTGTTCTCTGACCGTTGAGCTGCAACATTGGTCTCCTCCTGCTCTCTGGGCTCCAGGTTTTGCTCAGACTTCTCATATCCCTACTACTACTGTGTGCTCCTGGTTCTCAGGCCTTCAGACTCGGACTGGAATCTATACCATCAACTTTCTGGACCTCAGGCCTTTAAACCACATCACCAGTTCATCTCCAGCTTGCAGGGTACAGCTCATGAGATTTCCCATCTCCATAGTTGTGTGAGCCAATACCTTATAATAAATCTCTTTATACACACACACACACACATACACACACACACACACACGCACACACACACACAGAGGCACAGGCACACCTCATTTTATTGCACTTCGCAGATACTGCATTTTCACCAACATCATGGCGAGACCCTTCAGCAGAAAAGATTATGACTTGCTGAAGGCTCAGATGATGGTTAGTATTTTTAGCAATAAAGAATTACATTGTTTTTTTTGACATAATGCTGTTGCACACTTAATAAACTATAGTATAGTATATACATAACTGTTATATGCACTGGGAAACCAAAAACTTGTGTGCCTCATTTTATTGTGATATTTGCTTTATTGTGGGGGTCTAGAACCAAACCCACAATATGCCTATATCTCCTTTTGGTTTTCTTTCTCTGAAGAACCCTGACTAATATAATAGTCAACAAAAAGTTAAGAGGGTTTCTTTCACATCTGTCTATGTTTGGAATTTTTACCACCAGCAGAAAACTACATAATTAATCACATAGCGACAAATGTTCAAAATTAATGGGCTAATAATAAATATTCATTTAGCACCCACTCTATTCCAGGCATCAGGGACACAACTTAAGAAACATGTAAGGCAGTAAGAGTTCACAGTAGTATTCAGAAGTCCTCCCTCTCGACAGACACACGCTACCAGCAGGAGGCCAGAGGTCAACTATGGAGGTCCTGGCTGTTGGGCAAAGGGCAATTTTGTAAAGATGGTTGTCTAGGCAGCAGGCAAGCTCAGCGAGAGGCAGGTAACTGCCTTGATTGCTTTAATGGTTGTTAAGATGATGGGATGAGAAGGACTTAAATTCCAAAGATGAAAGCAGTAAGAACCTCCCAAAAACCAAAGAAAAATCAAAAACCAGAGGTCATGTGATGATAATGCAAATAAAATCATCTAGGAATTCTAGGGTGAAAATTTCATTTCTTTAGCAGGATTTAGCCAGGTTTTGCTCAGACTTATATCCCTATTGCTGCCAAAACTTTCCTTATATGGAAGGTACTGTCCATATTTCATGCATATATGATTATAATCTTAATTTATACTTACAGTTCTACCTTTCCCAAATTCAAAGGGTTATGGTAAGAAAATTGAATGTTCAGTCATGTCCTCTGTTTCCTTTAAATTTTAATCACTTTTCAGCACAATCCCTCAAGCCTAGTTCCTGAATATCTGGAAATCTGCTGTTGATAAGCTACCCCACTGAAAAGCTTTGCCTGTCTACTACCTGACTCTCAACCTGCACCCAGAAAACAGATGTGTATTAAACAGATAAGACTAATGACTTCAAGAACTCTATCCTCAAGAACAAGTTCATCAAAAGATACACACAACACAATAATCAACTAGCCGGGGGCACATCAGAGCAGCTTGATGGTATGGCTTTTATGTGGATTTTTTTAAATTGCAATCATTATTTTTCTCGTCTTCTTCCAATTTGAGGAGTAAAGCTAGAGGAGTAAAAATTGAGTCATTAAAGATTTTTAAAATCATCTTAAGCCTAAAATTATGTCTTAACATTAAAATATCAGAATAACTGAGTAGAAAGCATGACTATATGTCTGAAGGTAAGGATATCTAATAAACTTCTCCATATTCAAGACCTCTTGGAGAGAGACTTCACAACTCTGGCACATATGTGGTTTATGGTTCAAGCTTCACTTTTTTTACTAAAAAGTCAAAGCATGCCTGACACTGTCACGGCTCAAATTATCAAAGCAGAGACAGTAAATTAATTTGGCAAGGAGTCTCCTATCGAATGTAAACTATTCAGGAAAACACAATTCATTTAGAAGTTTCGAAGTCTGTGTCACTTTAAATGTTTATTTACCAAGAAAAGGCTCACGTGCACGCGCGCACACATGCGCGCGCACACACACACACACACACACACAGATGCTTAACTGATTATTTTAATCTCTCTCTAGAAAAAAACAAAGTATAGACACAGTTCTCACTAGAAATGATCAGAATGATTCCCTAAAACTTCAGAAACACTCCATTTTAGGTCCCATGCAAAAGTTACCACCTCCTTTTTGTTCTCTGTTCTTTCTTTTACTTTTTTTAAAAATCATTCATCATCTTTTCTCCACATATCTTAAAAGGGTCTTAAATTATGTGAAAGCTCTCTTTACTATCACCCTATAAATGTTAATTTAGGTTTATCTGTAAAGATATTCTGCCTTCAAAGGAAGCTGCAGTATATATATATACACAAATAAAGTGCTGCTGGAGCATTATTTACAACAGCCAAGACATGGAAGCAACCTAAGTGTCCATCAATAGACAGTTGAATAAAGAGGAGGTGGTACATGGACTATTACTCAGCCATAAAAAAATAAAAATTAAAAAAAAAAATGACATCTTACCATCTGCAACAACACAGATGGACCTAGAGCAGTCCCTTTTTGGCACCAGGGACCAGTGCTCCTATGAGAATGTAATGCCTGATGATCTGAGGTGGAGCTGAGGTGGTGATGCTAGCGCTGGGGAGCGGCCGCAAATACAGATGAAGCTTCACTCACTTACCTGCAGCTCACCTCCTGCCGTGCAGCCCGGTTCCTAACAGGACACGGACAGCACTGGTCCGTGGCCCAGGGATAAGGGGGACCCCTGACCTGGAGGGTATTATGCTAAGTGAAATTAGTCAAACAGAGAAACACAAATAGCATACGATTTCACTTCTATGTGGAAACTAAAGAACAAAATAAATGAACAAACAAAACAGAAACAGACCCATACAGAGAACTGACAGTTGCCGAATGGGAAGGAATCGGGGGTCTAAGTGAAAAAGGTGAAAGGATTAAGAAGTACAAATTGGCAGTTACAAAATAGTCACGGGAAAGTAAAGTATTGCATTAGGAATATATACAGTCAATAATATTATAATAACTATGTATGGTGCCGGGTAGGTACTAGACTTTTTAGGGGGACTACTTTGTAATTTATATGTGTCTAATCACTATGCTGTACACCTGAAACTAATGTAATATTGAATGTCAACTGTAATTCGAAAAGTAAAATTTTTTTAACTTATGAACTGTTGAAAAAAAAATGAATTTCAGGTACTTACTAAAAAAATAAGAATAAAGTGCTGCTGGTTTTCCAGATTCCTTGAAAAAAATCACTACTAAAATGAACGTGTACTCAGGAAGGGAAAAGAAAAAAGAAAAACCTGAAGAACATCTTTAAAAGATGCTTAGAACACCACTCTTTAAGCACCAACCATTGAATTGCTTTACTTTGCTGTATTTCATGCTTTCTCTGGTTATTTACACACCATCAAAAGCTCTTGTCAAGTACGTCTGTCTAAAATGTGGACTCTGAGGTTTGAAAGGGTTTTATTAATTGATCTCAACGGCGCATAATGAGCGTTAAAGGGCCTACCTGCGTGTCCCCTGAGGTGCTGGCTCGAGGCGGACATCAGCTTACAGCACACCATTAACACGTAGGCCAGGAAGAGCCAGTGCGACAGCAACACGGACCTAGCATAGACTCTCATCCTAGAGAGAAAGCAGAGAGCAGGCTGCAAGTCAGTGAGGCAAGGCTTCTTGGCAAACACAATCCAGGGAAGGTGGGAGATGCCCTGTGCTTGATCTCTTCTCCCTCAAGGAAACTGAGGGCCAATCAAACCTTATCTGCACTGTGCATTACCTCCATTTTCAAAAAACGCCTTTCATAATTAAGTTTTCCAAGCCTGCAGCATGCCACAGTGGGAAGTCTATTTATGAATTCCCAGGCTACAGCTTCAGTTGTCCTGATAGAATACTGAGATTGTGTACTGTTTTATATCATGATATTTAAAAGCTATATACTGAGAGCTGGATTCAAATAAAATATACAGGTCTGGGCATCTGAAAGAAACCACAAAAAATTTTCACACCCAGCTCAAGAGCTTTTTTCCAGTTTCTTTGACAATATATTAAGGCCTAAAAGAGTGGCCTCATAGCTCAGAATTTGGTGGGAATACGGATGGGCAAGTACAGGTGAATATAAAATAAAATAAACAACTTCATATGAACATCAACAGATATATATATATATATACCCTTATATGAATATTATACAGCCATGAAAAAGAAGGAAGTCCTGCTGCCATTTGCAACAATTTGGATGGACCTTGAAGGCATTATGCTAAGTGAAATAAGTCAGGGAAACACAAATACTCTATGATATTTCTTATATATGGAATCTAAAAAAGACAAACCCACAGAAATAGAGAGTAGAGTGGTGGTTACCAGGGGTTGTGGGTAGAGGAAACGGAGAAATATGGGGATTAAAATTCCAGTTATAAAATGAACAAATTTGGGGATCTAATATACAGCATGATATTATAGCTGATGATATTGTATCTCATACTTGAATGTTGCTGAGAGTAGGTCTTCAGTGTTCTTACCACAAAAAAGAAATGGTAACTATGTGATGAGATAAAGGTGGTGCCAATGCCACAGTGATTATCATTTTGCAATTTATAGATATTGAATCAACACTTTGTATACCTTAGACATCCACAATGTTATAAGACGTTATATGCAATAAAGCTGTGAAAATAAATGAATAAACTTAACTTCTTAAGGATGGACAGTATCGAAAGAGTTGCTCAAAGACAATTCAGTTCTCAAATGTGGTTTTGTAGTCTATTCTAAAACAAACTCTAAAAAGAGTAAATAAAAAGAAAATATCAAAAATGTTCCCCTCCACTCATTACCTGCCCTTTTTGATATTATAGGGAAATTAGATAAAACTCGATTAACTTTTTGGTTTGTTCTTTTTTTAAGTTAACATTTTCAAGCAAAAGTCAGGGCAGCTTGGCATTTGAAAACTCCAGTGACATTAGGTTCTGCCTGGCACGTGTCTCATGGTGTCTGTGATCCACTCTGGTGGATGATAGGGACCTACCTTTCTATATATACAAGACGTATCAATTCATGAGCAGACGATAAAGACATGAGTTTAGATACATACTCAGCTAACACTGGAGGCAAAGCTCCTGAGAAGTCCTGGAAGGAAGGGTCTAGCACCCATGGCTGCCAGCCCAGCGGGACTTCCACCAGAACCCTGATCCCCTGCTGGAGGGAAAGCAGAGCCTCAGGGACCTGGTATCCACGTCATACTCCTCTGAGAGCAGACTCTGCTGCCAGGGAGTCTCTTCCCTTCCCTTGTCTTCCCCTCCCCTTCTCTCCCTCTCTCACAATTTAGTTCAACTATATCTTGTTGAAAGGGTGTCATATTGCTCATTGATTTGAGACTCAGTCTACCTTTGAAGCAGCCAGACCACAACAAGAGTCTAAGGTCATCTTTGAAGAAATCTGTTAAAAGGGACACAAAGCATTGGCTTCTTTGTGCCCTTTGCCTGAGAAATCCAGAGCATTCTAAACAGACATGGAACCATGGGGTCTCTGCTTTGAAGGGCCTGCACGCACTTTGGTTTCTCAATGCATGTCTCCCGTCTCTCCCACCTCGGCATGCACACGGGAGACAAAAACCCTAAAAGCAGTTCAAAAAGTGGCAAAGAAAATATACGGGCCTACGTGAGCTTGAGGTGATGTTATTTAATTACCTTGTCAATTTAGGGAATTGATTATTAACTTATTATCAAGATTCCATATTTGCTGAATTTTTTAATGAGGTGCTCTGTGCCACATGCAGTATTCTAAAATTCCAGTTGTTACACTCAATATCAGTCATTGATCTAATTGTTACAAAGACTTATCTCTCTTTCCCAAGGGTCAAAAATTCAAATACCTCCAAGTGAGCGAGCAGGCTGGTTGGGTAGAAGTTCTGATGAACAGCAGGGACTGTGGAAACCTGTCCAGTGCACTGCTCCCATAGCAGCCTGTTACTGCACAGATGTGAGCACGGGAATGCCAGCTATAATTTTCCAAGAGAAACTGGATTCTGACATGCAGTCTGCACATTTTATATCCTGGCAACTAATCTCAGTTGTTTTATTTTTAAAACACAGAACAAACCAAACAAAACACATTTGCAGGCTGGATCAGGCACCCTGGCTTCCAGTAGGAATTAATGACCCAAAAAGGAAAAATTTTCAAGGAATCAGATAAACAGAATAGTCTTCTATTGCTGTGTAATGAATTAACTGCCAAACTTAGCAGTTTAAAACAACATGAATATATTATCTCAGTTTTCATAAGTCAGAAGTCTGGCACATTCTAGCTGGGTCCTCCACTTGGGGACTTACAGGGTTGCAATCAAGGTGTCATCTGAGTGTGTCCTTCTCTGGCGGCTCAACAGGAGAAAGACTGCTTCTAAGCATCCCCCTGCTGATGTCGAAATCCATTTCCTTGGGCCTGTTTGACTGAGGTCTCTGTTCTGGCGATCGGCCAGGAACTCCTCTCAGTTCTTAGAGGCTGCATTCAGATCTGGCCACATGCCCCCCACCACTGGCCCCTTCAGTCTCAATCTCCTCTTTCATGAAAGGCCCAGTACCTCACTAGGGCTCATCTGATTAGGTCAGTCCTATCCAGGATAACCTCTTTTTTTGATTACTCAACATCAATTTATTTGGGGCCTTAATTATATCTACAAAATCCCTTTATCTTCCTCATATAACCATAACCTAATCACTGGAGTAACCCCCATCATTCACAAACCTGCCCCTACTCAAGGGGAAGAGATACACAGGATACATACACCAGAGGGTATAAATTTTGCAGGCCATCTTAGAATTCTGTCTACCAAAAGTTCGTAAACAATCCATTCACAAAAGTTTATACATATATTTGGTTTACAAAGAATCAATTGAGTATTCAATCCATATATCTGGCTTAAGTATTTATAGACACAGGTTAACGCCAAGATTTACATCACTGAAAATGGACTGAGGCAAGTGATACCCAAAGGCACAGAGCTCTCCCTTGCTCTCCTTTCCTTCAGTCGGCACTCTCCAGAGAGCCCTTCAGACCAGTATCTCCCTGCCCAGCCCACGTAGCCACCATCCACACTCTGAGTCATGAGCAATGTTCCTGAGGTCCTCAAGGACATTGTTCTTTCTCCTTATTAAAACCATCTGACTTAACCTGGTTCTAAAACCCACCTTCTTGTCCTTCATCCAATTTCCAGATGCCCAGGTCTCCCACTGGTTTCTTAACTCTTCTATCACCCACTGAGTGTCATTAAACACTTTTTCCTACTTAGTGGGTTGGCTCCCCTGCCTCTAACCACAACGGCCCACCCAATTTAGAATCTCCAAGAATCTCCAAATTCAGATTAGGTCTTTCAGGTCCCTGAATCACCTAAACTCTTCTAGATGGATTTCACCTAATTTGGAGAGAATATTTGACATGACCTGAATCCCAAAGGTTGGGTTCCCTGGGAAGCCAACCGAGATGGAAATTGGTGAGCAGGAGGTTAATTAACGGGTGCTCTTTGGATCATCACCTGTGGGAGGGGAGGGAAGGAGAAAGGAAGGAAGGGGAGGAGAGGGGAGGGAAGGGGAGGAGAGGGGAGGAAAGAAGACAGGCTAAAAGGAGGAAAGGCCTCAGATAAACCCTATGGAGAGCTACAGAATTGAGATGCCTCTTCTCAGTGGTCCCAAGTTGGGCAGAGGGGCCAGGCCTTTATACTTTCATGTTGATTAGTCATTGGACATGAGCTATTCCTAGAAAGATGGGTCATCTTAGGCAAGCCCTCAATTCAAAGAGGCTACAGGCCATCTTCTGCAGCACTCCCAAAACTTGAAGAAAGAAATCCTTCATTCACGAAAGGGAATCTTGCAGTGCATCACAGTGCCCACTACTGTCCATCTTCAAATAGGAGATTCCATGGCATGTGCATAATTTACTTTGTGGGACTGTCAGTCATCCACAAGAGTAGACTCACTTCCAGGGTGATCACTTCATAAGACATATAAATGTCTAATTACAATGTTGTACACCTGAAACTAATATTATATTGTATATCAACTGTAATTGAAAATTTTTTTAAAGACAAAGACAGAGAGAGAGAGAAACAGACAGACAGACAGAAAAAGTATCCTCTAAGGTATAAAAAGCCCATGCCATGTTCATTAATGTCATGGGAAGAGGTTTCAAATATAAACTCTATACCAGTCTGAG